CTTCTTCGAAAAAAGTTTATATTTTCAGAGTTTTATAGTTTAGATGGAAGGAAAAAATTTTTCCATAAAAAAGGAAGCCTTTTATTATTTGACGGCAAAAGTATAATAATATACAAACTATAATTACTTACACCGTGCCCAATATTTTTTATTTTAATTTTAAATAATTTCTCGATATCTGACATAACAAATCCAATTACTTCATCATTTGTGTAAGTTCGATAAGCTTCTAAAATTGAAATTCATTTTAGCGCAATGATTTAATTTATACGATAAATCAAGTCACCAGAATCAAAAAAGTCGAGAAACGAAAAAGGAAATGTTTTTCGAAAACCTGTTTACCCGGTGGAGCAAAAGCTCCAAAGATATCCATTAAATGTCGGACAAGTAACGAAGTGTCGGGTGCTTCGGCTAATGCTCTACCAAATACAAAATGAGAGTAAAGATCGGTTACAATCAATGCCATGGTGTAACAACGTTCTCCATATTCCGAACATTCCATTTCAACCATATCGATCTTAAACATTGGATAAGTAAAAGTCACTGAGATTTGAGATTAGAGAGGAAATCATTTGATAGAACTAACTGAGAAGTAATCAAATGCAAATAAAAGGAGCAATTTAATATAAATGTTTCTCATATGGCACTAGATCATACCTCAGTAACGGTGGGATTATCGAACCGAAATACCTGAATTATCTTTATTGAGGCATGATTTAGTGCCATATGAACACAATAAACTAAATTCTTTAAGGAAAATGGCTATAAGCAATATGACTAGCAATAAAATAAAACTAAAATATTTTAAAAGTTAAAATGAAAGCATTCTTCCAAAAATAAAAAAATTACATGAAAAAACAGCTGACAAACCTGAACATATTGCATAGGTTTACTGCCAATACAGCGTGGTCTGGTAGGAAACTGTACTCGTGGCCCTTTCAATAGGATATCTTTCGTTGCGGTTCGATGCTTCGTTTTCAAACTTATACCCACATATTTTTCTTCCAGATAAGCTAACATTTGCTTCTGTGTACAATCCGGCATTGTTTCATAACATTGTCGCCAAATCTAAAAAGTAAAAATAAAAAATTAAAACAAATAAACATAGAAATAGGTTATTATCATTGAAATATAATCATCGAAATAATACATCATCAACTTCACTAATTCGTGGAACAATTTTTCCGGAATCGCGTAATCGAATACGCCAACCAGACGACAGAAATTCATTCGGTTCTGGCCAGTACTCGCTAACAAGTAATCCTCCCTTCATCCGTGCCTATAACTAAGCATGATAAGTCTTATAATATTATATAATTGTCGTTACCATAGCAAGATAACGTAGAAAAGTTAAGAAAGTATACAATATCCATTTTTTTTCACTATATTTTCCATTTTCTGCAAAAAATAGAGATACCTTAATGGCTTCTCTCAGAACAACACTATCAACATCATCGATTTTCAATTTTCTGGCCAGAATCTGAGCCAATATATCATATTCGTTGTCGGGAATAGCCGCATTTAATAAATTTTGGCTCATCCCTAGCAAAAAATTGATAAAATATAGTTCAGTATTGAAAGTAAATTTAAATCCTAACTTAAAGAAATATTAAAATTGGGTCTACATTATGCGATGCTTCAAACGCATTTTTTGCAAAAGAACTATAATATCATTAATGATTTAACAACTGAATTGAATAATAGGATTGGCAAAATCATAATTTAACCACAATGGGGATGTATCTATGACCACATAATAATGCAAATGTTTCCAAAATCCGCTTCAACTTGTTGGTTCGCTGAGTAGGAATTTATAATCAATCACAAGGAATCATATATTATTACCTTTAAATTATCAAAATTTTTATGCAAGAAAAGCAACCTTTCTTTCGAGCAAATTCCGAACTGGTTCCAGGCAATGCGGAATCACTGGACATACCAGCGAAACCTTGAGCACCAGAATTATCCAAATGTGATACTGCGTAATCAACGTCGTCTTCTCCTGCTGTCACCAAACGATTCAGACAATCCATTAACGCATTACGTAACTGAAGTACACTTATGCTAGTTCCTTTTATTTAATTCAGTTACTAACTTCAGATAGTATTATTAAGACTATTAATTATTGGTACAACGAAAAAAATTGTCCTTCTAGGATGTCCTCTCGAATCTCATTTATTAAAATATTTGGAAGGATCATATTTTCAAATATGCTACATCCACACAATTTCATTTCTCATTAGGGAATAATAAAAGAAGCAAAGATAATTGAATAATTAACCAACTCTGATAATTGAAGGGAACCCGACGTAATTTTTCTGCAGTAGCTGCAAACAGGCACCAATTGGATGCTTATCATTTTTAAACCGTGCCACAGCAGATTCTATAACCTGTTCACGTTGTTCGTTGGTTAGCAAAAGTCTTACAGAAGGAAGATGAACAATCACGTAATCAAGATGGCCAAGAAATTCATCGTCCACGTCACACGCTACCTAAACATTAATTTTTACTGAGTTAAGAATAGTCCTGTAAAATGTATTTGTCTGCGATGGTGAAAAAATTTAATCGTTTCTTGATTTATTTTAAAGAAAAATGTAATAATATATGTAGTAATTATATATATATATATATATATATATATATATGTACATATATTAATGAAATGAACAAACAGTGTAATCATCTCCTTGCACCATTGCATCCAAAATTCTTCTATGTTCTTCAGCTGGGGGAACCACTTCTCCTCCAGTCATTAAAATAATGAAATCTGAATAAATCGAGTCCGTAATTTGGTCTACCTGCAATAAGTTTATTATCATCTACTTTTTAAAAGACTATTGGAAGTAAAAAAAAAACAAGGCATAAATTTTTGGAACAAAACAAATAAAAAATAATGAAAGAAGATAATTAATTTTTCCAATTAAGAGAATGAACTAATCACTTACCGTGATTTTAGACGTGCTACCACACATGTCAGGTGGTAGTTCTGCAATAAAATAGAAGATTAGATAAATAATCAACATAAAAGAATGCAAGACAAAATTTGAGTGTCTCCAAATTACTCTTCCAACTAATGAAATGAAGCAATTACTAGAGAAGGAAATTTACGGACGAAATCTGAACTAATTGTAAACCACAACCAAGATCTCAGGATTTTTTGCACTTTCCAACCATTCTCAAACTTAGGATATCCACGAGATCGTTAACCTTAACATCATTCAAACACTGCTTATCGATAACTTTTTTCTTAAAAAAATTGATTAAAGTAACAACTTGATGACATACTTGTTTTCGGAATAACTTGGTACATGAATTGAGGTTGCACAAAACGCAAAGAAGCAGATTCGTTCGGGTAATGATCATTTCTGTTATTACCTGTGTTGGAGGAAGATTCCTATAAGTTACAAGTAGAGATGAATATATTCTTTTGTTGTAGGCAAAGCATTTGGATAACCAGATAAGACAATATTCAAGATATTCAGCAACCATAAGCCGGAGATGAATAAAGTAAAATTAAGCTAACTAACGAGATTCGAATGCCATCAACTCATTCATTTAATTACATTCGAATTTCATTCATCCCACTAAATTCGAATTGCCTTATAAAGTTAATGCTATTTTAAGTAAAAAATTGAAAATACCCTTGTAATTTGATCATCTTTGATTGACGTAGATTGACCGGTTGAACCATTCTGTTCATTAATGACAACGCTGGCACCAACAACCGGTATACATCCTGCATCCAATATCTGCTCTTCTTCCTCTTCCTCTTCCTCACCTAATGATATGGAAGCTGGATCAAGCAATGCCATAACAGCTGAAGCAAAAGAAACACAAAAACTTCCAGTTATAAACGTTTAGATCACAGCCGAAACAGGTATGTGACAATTCCAACATGCTTAGTGAAGTGATTTTGATTCATTTAGAAAGTTTAACAAGCGATGGAATAGAAAGGATGGAATATCATTAAGTAAAGTAAATGAATCAAAATCGTTAAAGCAAAATTTACTCGTGGAATAAGGTCAACTCGTCTGTTGAGATTTTTCACGTCCTCATCACATACATAAATTGACCTGACTTACTTAGATTCACATTATGCAACACATCCAGGCTTTTCTACACAGCATAGCAGTAGATAAAACAGTCATTCTTCTAACAACAAAAGATAATAAACAATATATAAATTAAAAATGGAAAAAAAAATTCAAAAAATCGCAAGAAAAGCTGCTAGTGAATTAAAGATGGGCAACAGTACATTCATTAATAAAGCAATAAACAATGGATGAATCAGACAAAAATAACCTAAAACTAAAGGTTAAGAAAGCGAACAAAAGGTATTTAAAACACTGATGTTGGCTTCCAAAAGATAACAAAGAAAGATAAGATTTCTAAAATGATATATCTACCATTAAAACGGGTTATATATAAGTAAGCGACAAACACACGCGTAACGACATAAAATTCCAGACGGGTATAGGTTTTCTATCTGTCTCGGGTTCAAGAACGTCTTGCTAAACGTTGCGAATTTAGATTTATTCATTGTACTTTGGCATTATTTGTTTGGGATTTCGGTGTTGCTGGTAACCTTTGTTCCATTTGTTGTAACTTTATATTTTCATATTATTCCTGATATTTTCGACATAGGGATCAGTGCTTATCCATCTGGTAACGGATCTTTTCGCCTTTCAGTATAACGAATTACCAGTTCTGTACCTTCTAGTGTAGCAAATAACGGATTCTTGTACCTTCTAATACTTCTAATATAATTGATAACGGGTTATTGTACCTTTAGGGTAACGGATCAGATTTTCTCACCCTATGGTGTAACAAATTTCGGATCTTTCTGCCATCCAACTGTTCGGTGTACATCATTCGTTATTAAAATTCATTGCAGGGAAGAAAAGAAGTTGATAGCCAATGGACGTTACAAGATTTTCCAAATGTTATATGAAACGCTAACGGATTATTGCATTTAACAGTTCGTTCTTTGACTGTTTGAAATGCGAGCTGTAATACAGCGTGTTACGAAAGCTGCCGTATTCATTGATGGTCAACTGGTCAGTACTGTTCAGCTCTCGAAATTAGAGTTTTTTTCCTTTTCGGATCAAGAATTCTTAAGTATTTCAGATTGATATTATTGAAATATTATTTTCATTGTTTTCATCATTTCAGGAGTCATCAATTGAACGGGGAATATGTGTTCTATTAGCTATCAATATTGAGGATACCTCGGATGATATACAGTATGTGGTACGGAAACTGTTAAATATTCGAATGTTTCCAGATGCTGAAACTGGTAAACGATGGGACAAGAGCGTTAAAGATCTGGGATTTGAGATACTTTGTGTAAGCCAAGTAAGATTTCATATTAAAGCAAGGGAAACGAAAAATGAACACAAATGTACTTAATTTGCCCCTAAAAATGACTTAAGAAATTATTGGATTCTGACTAAAATTAAATTTAAAGTCAATCTTATTGCATTTCATATAAATATATCATTTGAAACTCCTCATCATTGTTTATTTTTCAGTTTACATTATACAGCTTGTTAAAAGGTAATAAATTGGACTTTCATCAATCAATGGCACCAACGGAATCGCAACAATTTTATCAAAATTTTATAGCTGAATTGAGAAAGGCTTATAAACCAGAACGGATAAAGGTTATTTTTTCGTTCGAAAGTCTCTTTTGTTTTCCCGGCTCTTTACTGTGGTATCGGACTATGCTCGTATAAAAAGAAAGTTGAATTCTTGTCCAGAATCTATTAATATATTGCATTTCCTTTATTTTTTGAAACAAAAATTAAGCAATTGATGAAATGAATTTATAGGATGGTCGTTTTGGTGCGATGATGAATGTTCAGATTGAAAACGATGGTCCTGTCACTCTCATTTTGGATAGTAAAATTAAAAATTAGTGGTTCTCTCTTCATATACTTGATTTCTGGAGTAATATTAATTGCTGTGATTTTGCCGTGTACTTTCCACAATTATTGATTTGGCTGTTTAGGAAATCTAAAAGCTGAACAAATCTTAAGCTGCTTACGAATTTCAAGATGTCATTCCACCACAGAATAGTTATTTTATTTGCATAATGAGAATGACCATTTCTGTTGGGGTCCAAAGAATATCAGCTATTGTTTTTATCACACCTCAAAAGACTTTTAAGCTCTAATTTAGATTTTTTTTTTCAAGTGAGATCGATTCAGATTGATGCAGCAATTTCAGTTTTCATCATTTTTCATATTTTTGTTATTGGTTTTTGGAACATTTTTTTTTACATCGATGTTTACACCGCTGGTACTTTTTGAATTTGAATCAGCAATAAAATTTTTAATTGATTTTGAAAATGATTTTCGAGATTGTGTTTGCAAAAATGAAAAACTACAAGACATTTTACCCGAATTACAACCACTACAAAAACGAAATGAAAATAACCATTGTTGAATGAAGGGATGGTTGAAACAGTGGTAATAATATTAATGGTAATAATAGTATAAGGAAATATAGAGGGAACATTTATTAGGGCGACATTGACAAAATTCGATTTTCCTCTTTCAAAATATTTATGAAACATTTAAAAATGATTAAAAGAAAAAGAAATTGGTAATTAATACAACCAAATGAAAAAACCTGAAAAAAAATGGAACCAAATAAAATTATTGAAACAATTAACAAGACTTTATAGGAAAAAAAGAGCACTTCAAATAATAGAGTTTAATAAGCGGATGGATTATTTTGCACTATGCGGCATTTCATTTCGAGATCAACAATACATTTCAAAATAGAGTTTAAAAAAAGAAGAGGAAGAAGAGAAAACACTGAAATCAACATATTTAACATGTAAAAAGAATAAAAGAATAATAATGTGGGAGATACGGAGACGTTTTCATCGTCTTAATTTCGCTTTTTTCTCCCCCTCATATCCGGATATCCGGATATTCATTCTTAGTCGATAATTCCTGAGTTCTTCGCCAATGACTTTAGGATGGATATTTTCTTTCTTCTGTCTCTCTCTTTTTTGCTCTTCTCATCTAAGGATTTATGCAATACCATATGAAGTCATTGCTCATAGGCAAGTTTATTTTTTCCTCAGTTCCCCTATCTGTAATAGTGAATATAGGTTTAATATGATTTTTTTAATATGCTTGCTTTTGAGCAATATAGATTATAAATTTAGTTACTCAATAATTTCATAAATTTTTTTCACACTTCCTACCCCGGCCTAATTAAGATTGATATGTTGAGGTACAGAAACGGGTGGGGCACCATTCTGACCAGTTGAAGAGGCGATACTTGTTGTAGCCGATGGTGATGAATTTTGTTGAGATGTTGAATTCTGATTTGAACCAGCCTGAAGGCAAAATTATAACTATTAAATGTTATAATTTGATTAGATAAAATATACATGATAAATAAATCAAAATAATCTGAGTTTATATTCCGTTGTTAAGTTATAAAATTTAATTAAACTTTTAATGAATTGCCTGATTGTTATTGTTTTGTACGAGTGCTGAAGCGGTGGAATTATTTGCTTCTCGTTCCTTTTTAAATTGTTCAAAATCATCGCCCAATATGGTTGCAATTTCACCCTGCATAAATGCCCATGGCATATGTGAACCAGCCAATGGGCATTTCTCACCCGATGGACAGTATACTTCCTAAAATAAAACAATAAAAAATATCAAAAATGAAAGGAACAAGAAAAGAAACATGTATAATCAAAAGCAGAGATAATTTTTTCAATGATTCATCTTTTACTAGGCCTATTTTTTCCATTCGATATGAGATTACGATACAAATCTAACTCTTCTAATAATGCATCTTTTAATAGGCTTATTTTTTTTTTGATTCGATATAAGATAAATATGCAAACCTGAGCACTTCCCTGTTTCTTAATGCTTTCACGTGAGCACGGAAAACAGAATTTGTGTCCTGAGACTGAAGGGCATTGCACAAAATGAGTATCTTCAAGGCGTTCATGGCATAAAGTACATTTCACTACTCGATCATTGCTATAAATAATAATCATCTGATCACTATTCAATCACTGCAATAAATAATAATCCATCTGATCACTGCTTGATCATTGTTATAAATTATCACCTGATCACTACTCAATCACTGCAATAAATAATAATCCATCTGATCACTACTCGATCACTTCTTTAAAAAAAAAGCTAAAAACACTTTCAATCATTTAAAAAACATAAAAATATCTCTTAAAATTATGCAAAAAAAGAAAAACAATTTAAATTTAATTAATTACAAAATAATAATATTTTCATTTTATACTCAAAAAAATTCTTTTTCATCTTTTCCTCTTTTTGAATAATTGTAATTTCTGAGCATCAGATGTAATTACTTTTGTGAATTGCTGAAGCTTCGTCTATTACAGGAATTGTTGTTTGGATGATCTGGGCTATGTGTTGATGTTGGTGATGCTGAAGTTGTTTGCGCATCTCCTGTAAACATTACATGAAAGATGTATGTTTCGATGTTTCGCATTAAAAGGTTCATTCGCCTTTTATGCAAATATTTACAGAATTATAATTTTATGAATAACAATAATATTTAAGGAAATATTTGAAATGCTATAATAATTAATTCGATCATTAAATTCTAACAAATAACATCACAATTCTCTTCCATTAAATTAAAAAAAAATCTTCCAATTTTCCATATAAAAATAAATGATAGAATCTGTCAATAATTGTTTTGTTGTTGTCTTTGTTACAGTCTGAATCATTCAATACAAATTTGTCATTTAAATATATCTTTTTTTAAATGCAAAAAAATTATTTATTGAGAAGAGGAAAAATGATTCGAATATTCGAATATTTACTTCGTTATGATGATATTCATTTTTTTCTGATAAATACATTTTACCGGATAATGATTATTATTTTCGGTATGTTTGAATTTATCCATCATTTTATGATAAATGTGTTTTCGGAAAATGATTCAGGAATACTATACTAGATAATATATCGAACAAATTGCACAAAGATAAAAATTATGAATAAAGACCCATTTAGTATTTTATTTTTTTTATTAGGCTTATTTCAAATTCATTTCACAGTATTTGATTCGGTCCCTATATTTGCATACACATATATATGTATACAAATATATTTATTTATTGGTAGATATTGTTCCATTTCATAAGATCGTTCATCTGTGATGTCACCTAAGAGACAGAGAGAGGGAGAGAGAAAAGGAGAGAGAGAAAGATAATTGTGATGGCGGATTGGATGAAATTACGCAATTTTCTGAGATTACTGCAAAGGTTCATTGGCCTAGTTGGCTATCGTCTGTTCCTTTTAAGATAAAGCGAAGAGATGCCTATATGAACTCTTCATCTTTCTTCATTATTCTGATAACATGTCAATAGAAATATTTCAGAACTGGAGCAAATTGAAAGAACGGAAAACCGGTTTTCATTTTTCTCATTTTCCTGCTTCCCACTCTTCTCCTTCTCCGCCTTTTACCGCCCTTTCGAACGAAGTTCGTTGATCCGTTTGTTTCTATTCAATAACCTCTTTGAAGGAGTTAAGAAAGATGATCGAGTTTGTTCGTTGTCATCAAATTCGAAAAGGTCAATGAACGAAGTTTAGATTTTAAAGGCTAGCAAATACGAGCAGGTCGAGAGAAAGAGAGAGATGAAGTAGGTAAAAGAGATAAAAAGAAAAAAAGAATGATATGATGAATGAAAAATTGGATATTTTGCAGAAATGTTGGCGATTAGTTCTAGATTCCGATTACCGACCGGGTGGTGCAAACGACTTTTCGACCTCTCATTTCCACCCGATCTTCCCATTTTTACACACCACATACCACACAGACATACACAAATACCATACACGCATAACACGTTTTCCATTCATTTCTAATTCTAATTTAAAAAAAAGATTTACATGAATACATGAAGATGGAATCATGACAACCTCAGGCAAAAAAAAGGAAGCGGAAAAACGAGTTTGATGAAATACGTATTAAATGGTTGGTACAAACAGTTACGACATTATTTAATTGTTTATCTAATTGTCTCACATTTTCTACATTTTCAACATATTTCATTAAAAAATATTTATTAAATTTGATAAAAATTGCTTAAGTTATTAATTGGCTGAGAATTAATTAAAAGTAAAATTTTCATATCTTTTTCTTTCACCTTTTTTAAAGAGAAAAAAAGGAAGAAATTATTAATTAATTAACAAAGTTATTAATTAGTAAAGTGTTGCGCAACATACAATATGTCATTGCAAGAAAAGAACACACATACATATACACACATACACATACACATGCACGCATACACATACACACATAACAATATACATACACACGTACACATGTACACACACACACATACACATGCAAACACGTGCACATGTACACACACACACACATACACATGCACACATCTGCACATGTACACACACATACACATGCATACACATACACACATATATGACAAACATATGACACTATTCTATGAAACTTTTCTAAGAGAAGGAAAAAAGACATTCCATCTTTTCAAAGAAATTTGGAAAAATTTTTTGAACTTTCAAAATTAGCAAAATTTAAAGTTATGTCTATTTTATGTATTTAAAAAGAAAAAGAAATGAGAATCATTCTTTAAATCCATTTCAAATTCTAATTTGTTTCAGTATAATTATGAAGAAAAAAAAGCTCACCCCTCTTACTTTATCTTCTATTTTTCCCCTTTTCTCTTTCTCTCTCCCTCTCTCCCTCTCTCTTGTCTTTCACGATGAGGTATATGAGGTTATTCCATGTTGTTCGAGAATAATAATAATGGTATGTTTGAATTTTTGCCACTGTTCGCGACCTCTCTAATCAAATACTTTGTGTTCCGTAGCAAATATAACAATCACCGGATTGTACCAGCAGGTCACATGGCACGAAAAACCGGTTCTTCGTCCGTCTGTTATCCGTACCATAAAATGAATATACTTTTAACAATTCTTTTCACCTCTATTCTACCATAATTCTAAATACACATATAAAAATCCTTTCCTCTTCCTTTCCTCCTTTCCTTCCTTCATTCCTTTCCTTCATCCTTCTTCTAATGATAATAATTTGAAGCGGTAGGATGAAAAAGAAAAATTGGAGTTAACAAACTTTTCAACAACTAATACTCTTTCTTATTAAAAGGAGAGAGAGAGAAAGAGAAAGAAAGAAAAGAAGATATGACGGTAAAATACAGGTAAAACACCGGTCTATACTTTTTTTGCTCAACTGTACCCATATTTCTTAATATTTCAACCTCTCTCTCCCTCTCACTATCATACTATTTTCATTTGTAAAAATTCAAAAACTGTCAAAAAATTTTTGCAATACTAACAGATTGTATAATGTAATACAGATAAGATAAGTGAAGTCATTGAACTGTTTATGAATGGATAAATAATTTAAAATGGAAAGAAACTGAGAAAATGAGAAAGATAAGAATATCAAAAACCGGTTACTGAATCAGACATCAGGTCAACTTTGATCCTGTGTATGTGTGTGTCTGTGTGTGTGTTTGTGTAAACTATATTGGGGTTAATGCATCACAAATATATCAACATTTTTACCATCTGTTCCAAACAGTGGCACTGTAAATTGTAGCATATAGCAGAAGTATCAAAATGAATACCGGCATACCGGCAATATCATCCTGTCAATATATTTAATGGATAGGATAGACTTGAAAAAGTAAGGAAGAAATCCAGTTTTCCTTAATAAATTTCTGATTTGATCAATTATACAATAAATACAATGTGATCCATAGAGGTCACAAAAGGAAGGATAAGATGAAAGGATGAGTGCGAAAAAGGAATAGAAGAGAATGACATTTGCGCCAATCATTTTTCTTTCTTCTCTTGTCTATATGAATTCTAATCTTTTATTTAAATCGGTAATTTATGTAACATATTATATTCAGCGCAAAAATGATGATGCCATTTGTATTATGTAATTATTCGTTCCAATAGTAAAATACAAACAACAACAACAACAATAACAATAACACATTGCTCTGTCAACTATTCAAATTCATTCCAATTCTCTCTGCTCATTATCTCTTCCCGATATCTTACACAGTTTCATTCCATGCGATGTTCAACTTTTTTTTTTGCATAAATTTATAAAATTTCAAATCTACAATTTAATAAAATTTTTAAATAAATTTAACTTTTAAAATTAATAAATTTTTACTAGATAAAAAGAAAAATAATTATCAAATAAGTGGCGAGCGAGGACGAGAGTCTATATATCTATATGTATATATACAACTTACCACGCTGTACTTTTCCATATACATCAGGTTTGATATCATCTGATGAGTCATGATCACGTTTCCGTGATGCTGCAACAGCAGCAGCAAGTGATGCATTTGGTGGTAATAAGCTTGCTACGCTATTTGTTACCAAATTTGGAAATACACCTAAAAATTATATATACAAATGACTAATAATTATAATATTAGCAAAATCAAATGATTCAGAAATTTATCGAATATTTAATTAAAATTCTTAATAGGAATATTCTTTTTATCTCTTTTATAGGAAAAGATAATCTTAAAAAAAGACATATGAACTCACTCATCGGAAGGCCATGTTGCATAAGAGAATTTTGAAGATGAATTGGTCGTTGCAATTGTTGCAAGGCATGCAAATCTTCGGCTGTAAATTGACCAGGTTGCCTACCAGCCAATGAAATGAACCGTTGTTGTTGTACCAAAGCCTGCAGTAGTAATTTTGTGCCAAAAATATAAAATTTATCGAATCTAATTTTAGCTATAGCACAAAGGTCATAGTGAAAACTACGACTTTTCACTGAGGGATCAACTATACAGAAAAGATACGAATGATAATTGTTGCTAACTTCGGTTAGTTGATTTAGCGGTAATTGTGGCATTTGAGCTTGTGCTGCAGCGGCAACTGCTGCAGCAGCAACTGCTTGCTGTTGTTGCTGTTGATGTTGCGCAACCGTTGGTGGTGGTACTGTAGCGGGATTAACACCGCGGTTCACAGCTGGAGAAAATCGTCCCGCACCGGCTTGCATTAAACATTCTTTCTAAATGAAAACATTCACTTTTATTAATAATAGCAACAATTTTATTGAAATTTTATTTGAGAAAAAAAATTTGTGAAATTAAAAAAACCAGCCGATAAGAGAAGACAATCGAATAGAATTAGATAAAATTAAAATGGAAAAAAAAGAATTACCTGCGATAAATTTCTGCTAGCAATGGTTGTTGAAGTTTCACCTACCGGAAATCCGTGAACGCGTTTCAATTGGCGTGCATTCTCAATTACATTTTCTATCCTAAAAATGTAAAATTTAGTTTCAAAAAAAGTAAGAACAAACAAAAAAAATCTATTGTTATTTAAAATTTATTTTATTATTTAAACTTTGTGCATAAATCCTAGCAATGGATGATAATTATTATATAGCAAAGACCACCCAATACTTTGTTATATTTTCCATCAAAATTTTTGAATGAGTATTTTTCATTTCCATCTAATTCAGAATTTCAACAATGAAACTATTAATTATGAATAAACTATTATTGCTTCATTCAAAATAAATTTTGATGAATTTGATAAACATTTATAATTTGAAAAATTATTCTCCAATTTATGAATTGGAATAAACATAGCTATTTTTTGTTCATTGAACAGATTTAACAAAGTAAATAATGTCGAAAAAAAGATTTCTATTAGTTTGATTTTTAGATTTTTAAAATTGTAAAAGATTATAAATGATGAATTATATTGATGTATATTTATTATAATTGAATAACAGATATTAATGAGATTATATTATAGTGATAAATTATTGCTTATTATTTTCGTTTTAAAATTGAAAACGAACCGATCAGCTCCTTCATAGTTGACACAGCCTCGACAAACAGGTTCCATGTAATCATTGCACATAGCCCATGGCCAACGAGGTAAGTCGCATAGGAAGCAATGTTGTCGTCCAGCAATTTTTGTTGTAGCCGTTCCACCACAACCACCGCCACCTATTCCAGCTCCGGTACCATTTGCATTAACGGTACCATTTGGTCCGGTTCCACTTCCGCTATGACCTACAGCTGCAGCAGCAGCTGCTGCTGCACCATTCATTGTTGCAAGCATACCGTTAGGATTCATTCAGATGTGTTAGATTAAAATAAAGCGGAAATAACCGGATTGAAATAATAAGCGAACCAGTCGCTACGAATTGTATTCAACTTTATTCAGATATTTTGTTAATCTGAAATTCGAACAAATATGCTGAATAATTTTCAACTAATACGCATGACCTGAAATTTAAGCAAAAATAATATGAGCGAAAAAGACTCGAAACTTTTATGCGAGATTTTTGCTTAATTCTAATATCCTTACAACTATTAAAACAAATAACTTTATCATTTGACGGTTATTTATATAATAAACAAATTCACGAAAAATTAAAATTCTTAATGATAACGTAAAATATGTATTTGAGCTTAAATATTAAATTAAATCAGTTAAATGAATGAATTATATTATGAAGTTTCATACATTTAGTTTACTAAAATGTATTTTTAATATGGCCGGAAATTAGAGTCAAAAAGATCAAATGTGGTAGTGATAAGAGATAAAAGTTTTTCACTTCATCTATTCTTCATACTCTTTCAATACTTCAGCCTTTACAATGAGAACATTAAAGAATGAGAGAAAAGATAAGAAGATGAAATTTCTGATGGTAGCAATTAAATTCAATCGAAAATATCAACTTCAACAATTAATAACAATAATATTTTATTAGTGTAAACATACCATATCAGATATCACTACCACTATCATCATCCTAATTATACGTTCTCATTCGATTTATAAATTAGTTTACAGCAAACATATTTATTGCAAAAACAATAAGTTTAGTCACATTTTATACATTTCGCAATTTATCATTTCTTTTTAGAAACATTTTAAACTTACATTATTTTTTGATTTGCTAAAAAAAGTGTTTAACTTCAAAAGTTTCTTTTTTCATAAATTTATCAAAAAGAAGTGTTAAAATTATGATAATAATTTGATACTAAAATTAAGGTAAAAATAAATTAATAATTCAAATCAAACTTATATTATTTTATCATACGATATTAAATAATAGAAAAACAAATGAAGCAAAGAAATGAAACTTTTAGATTTAAAATTTCTGAAACAGATTAATTAGTACTAATAATAAGCTATTTTAATTAGTATTAATGATAAGCTATTTATGATCAATTTAAAAAAGACATGCAATAATATGTGAGAATGTATGTGTGAGATTAAAAATGATAAGCAAAAATGAAAGGAACAATTTGATGATATTTTAACAGCTGCTTGCATACAAAAAAAAGAAACTGAAGAAGAGGGATAGATAATAAACATGCATGTATTTGTTCACCTGATGATTTATACATGATACCCGATCGGGAGCATTATGAGAGTTTTCTAAAGAGAATGTCGGGAATATTTGCAAATCGTTTTTTTCCCCTTCCTTCTCTCTCTCTCTCTTCTTTCCTTCTCTTTCCCTTTCGTTTCTACGTGATCATTCTCCTCTCTTATCATCATTTCTTCTATCTTTTCCAAAACATATGTTGGAAGACAATTAGGAAAATTTTCCAAAGTACTATATCGTGGGAAATTTTTGGCAATTTATAAAGATTATTTATGTATATATGTAAACATATATTTCCGTAAAAATTTAATTTAAAAATTTCCATTGTGTAAGTGTAATTTGCTAATTAGATTTTCAGGTAAATTTTGCTTTAAAAAACTTTTTTCAAACTTTCTGGGGCTTTTTTGAGAAAAAAACTATTCTATTCAATCTATAAATGATACTATTATTATTATTGTTATTATTATTATTATGATTACTAATATTATTATTATTACTATTATTTATTTATTTATTTATTATTATTTTGCAATCATAATTTAACTGCAGTAAATGCTTAAAGCTATCTGAATAAAAATGGGAAGCAAAAATTTTCTACAACGCTTAATATTATAATATCATTCCAAAATAATAATGGATTATTGATGAATATGTAAATATTAAAATCAATATTTTCCTAAAATAAGCACCAATAGACATCAAATATATATTATTGCTATACAAACAAAATCTCAAACAACTTATTTAATCCAATATTTTGCAAAAAATTTTTCTTTTTTTCTTTTGCAAATGCAATTCATTTTTCCATTCATTCACTAATAAATAAATAAATAAACAAAGGGAAATAATGCAAAATGAAAAACTCACATAAAAATAATATAAAATTATATTTGTTACATTTTAAATCTTTGCTGTAATATTATTTATTTGTTATGTATTGGATGGCGTCATTTGAATTTCATAATTTTTGAATCATTAACCCTCCTTATTTAATAGGGCATTTACACCTGTACTCCTTTCTCTCTCTACTTTACTGTAATTAGAAAATAAATTAAAGAAAATAAAAGTTCTACCTAAAAGGTACTATCATCGATAGAATTTAATGATGCTTGCCTGGAAAAAGAATGTAACAGAATGAATCAAAAGCTGAAGAAAAAAAGTGAAATGTGGAAAAAAGAGAGAGAGAGAGAGAGAGAAAGAAAAAAGGGAAAAAAAGAAGTTAAATTCCGGTTATAAGCGAAGTTCCTATTGATACGGAATGAGATAAAATGTAATGAAAGGTTGGTAAGCGGAAGAGGAAAGTGGAAATATCTTCACTAACCGGCTAGTTAGTTAATCATTGATCAATTTCTGTGCTTTGATCTTCATGTCTAGACCTGATCCTAATCAAAAAAAGGAAATCTAACACTTTTTCAAAAAAGAAAACAGGAAATTAATTAAGCAAAAATAAACATTTTTCTCTTGAAATTTCTATTTGAATTATTGCTATTATTGCTGCTGTCATTAAATATCCATCCGTTTTATTTATATTTCCGGTATTACGTAATTCGATCGGACAAATGTGTCATTGCTGAAAAATTATAATTGAAACAGTAAATTTTATAGATTTCAAATGCCTAAACATTACTCTTAACATAATAATAATTATTACTGACGAAAATTTTGTGTTACAAATAAAAAATAACTATAAAATAATAATTTGAAAAAATTAAACAAAATAATTGAAATAATTAAAATTAAAGAAAAATAATTAAATTAGAATAATTGAAATAAATAAAAACATAATATTCATAATTATATTATTATAATTATAAAAACGATAAAATATTATGATAATATACGTATGAATGTGTACAACATCGTAGTAGACATTTTCCTTGCATCATTTTAATTAGTAATTAATATTTGTATGAAAACAAAATAGAAATTATTCCTACAATAAAAAGAAATCTGTTGAAATTTATCATTTAATTGTTTATTATTTTGTTTTTACATTATTATAGTTGAATAAAACTAAATGAACAGAGTAAATCTGTATTGTATGGATGTTTATTACGAAAATTGTTGACTACCATATTGAATCGATGATAAGATAATATCAATGATAAAACAATATTTACATTTATATCAGATGCTAATAGATATCTCAAACAGAGTTATTAATAAATTTTCATTACTTTAAACATTCTGATAAATAAATCATCAAATAATTCTGCCGTAAATTAAAGATAATCATATCATTAATTACTACATTGTAATAATATAACTATATTATTATACACATATATGTATATGTGTAAATATTTCTTAAATTAATTACTGATCAAATTTCTGCTAAAATTATTCGAAATTTCTAATTAATTTCTAAATAATTATTGCAACATTTCAATAATGAGAATTTCATAAAAGAAAAAAATTCAACCTTTTAATGAAAGGAAGAAAAGTTTGAAACAAAAAAGTATTTTAATGAAAACAAAAAGAATAATTTAATTCGTCCTTCAATCTGTAAATCTTAATAAAAATAAAAATTTCCCACATCTATTTATTTGTGGCGCCCATTTATGTATATAAATGAATGCCTGTGGTTCGTTGGTTGGTTGGTTGGCTGGTTGGTTGGTTGGTTGGTCAATGAAATCAATCGTTTATGTAAATATATTTGATATTATTAATATATTCCGATGTGACGGAAGGCGGGGGGAAAGGCGGGGAGTGAGAAGGAGGGAGCAATCGTTGATCGTTGTTGGATGCCACATTATCAACAATACAAAATCTATCTGTCAATTCTTCATGAATTATGCATAGTTTTAGTTTAGCCATAATTAATTGCACAATTTTAAAAGAAAACAAAAATTTTATTTTCTTCTCTTCTTTCATATATATATATATTATTATTATTATGCAAAAAAAAGGAATAGCAAATTAGATTAATATAATTTTTGGGAAGAAAACAAAGAAAAAGAAAGAGGGAAAAATTTTTTCAATTTAAAAATTTAAATTAATTTCTTTTTGCGAAATGAAAAGTTCATTATTATATTGGAATAGTTAATTATCAATTATTTTAATAAGGAAAGAATAGATGCTATTTCTCAAATATTATCATGATATGATAAGAATCATCGGGTTTCTTTTGAAAATGATATATTATTTTATCATAAATAAATATTGAAAGAGAAAATACTATAAACTTCAAAGAATTTTTAGGAGTAACAAAAAAAATCAATGAAAAACTTATTGTTGGAATTATATAAATGAAATAAAGAAGAAATTTATTGTTTTAACTATTTTATATACATATAAATAAAAAAGAAAGGATGAAATAATTAATAAATTTGTTCTTCGCAGTAAAAAAGTAAGAAAAAGAGAAGTAACTTTTTTTTTCTTTTGATTATATTTTATAGTATATATATGATTGAATTTGAACTTCTTTCTTTTTGTTATGTTAGATTAGGAATAAATTTTTCAAATTCGAATGGGAATGAATGAGCGAAGGAATGAATGAAAGGAGAAAGGAAGAGAGGAAGAACGGAAGGAAGGAAGGAAGGAAGGAAGATAGATACATTCATCGAATTTCAACTAGACTGATCCTACTGGAAAGGACACACTGATCATCATCACATATAAGAATGTATGCTTTGAAGAGAACTGGCTGCATCATTCATTATCATCGCTAAAAGCAAGATGATTCAATTCACCAACCTATTATTTTCGCTTCTCAAAAAAGAGAATTTTTGTTGTTTGA